GAGCGACTTGAGCGAGAAGCAAAACAAAGATCTCGGCGCTTGGATCGGAGCTCTGTTCATTGCCGAGGGCATCAGTGAAGAGACCATGTCCTCTTGCAGCCCACACGAATTCTACATGCTTGTGACGACATTGTTCGGTCAGAGTCTTGGTGCGTGCGAGTCCGGAAAGCTAGATTTCGACACTTTGAAAGGCGGATTTGAATGTAAGAAAATCTTCACGCGATCGCTTCCACTGGATACTTAGCTAACCGCCATAAAGATCTGCTCGAGCCCTTCCTCCTCCCGTCCCTAGTCGTCGCATTGACATGGCTGGGCAATCACATCTGGGAATCAGAGACCGACCCCACAATCCCCATCAAAACCCTCCACTCCCTCGTTAAACCCAACTCAATATCCGGCGAAGCCCAAGCCATCCACCAAACAGTCCTGAACATAACCGGCTGCCCACTAGAAGAGCAACTAAAAAATGTCCGAACGAGAAACCAGTCGCGGACAGACATCAAACCAATCCTCGATGCCCTGGAGCCATACATCTCCTTCCGCCGCGTCGGCAGCTGTCGCCGCTCCGAACTTGACAGCTGGACGTCCCACTCCGCGGGCGGGCTAATAGCCAGCATCCGCACAACTTTACAAGCTCTCGTCCTCTGGAGCGCCAACCCAGGAATCAGCATGGCCCCACACGCATACACGCACCGGCAGGTGCTAGCGGGAATCCGCATGCTGGGCGCAACACGCGTGCTAGGCGCGATAATCGACGAAGTCAAGCAGCAGAGCGAAGCAGGTAACGGACATATCGCGCTAGACATTGCGACGACGATGGTGTGCGCTCCGATGACGGAGTCCTTCGCCGTCGACCAAAACAACTACCACCCAGTCGACCCAAGCAAGGAGGCTTTACCACGGTGCGCGATCCTGACGCTGCGCGACGCCTTGTCACTGCAGCACGAGAACGTGCCCAAGATCTCCGAGAGTGATCCGCTACGCGCCGAGGTCGTAGTGCGGCTTGCACGTCGGGTTAATATGCTCATGGCGCCGCCGTCGCAGGTCTCAAATATCGACGTCTCGAATATTATTCAGAATATGCATCTTGGTGTTGAGGGGCATGAGGGTCGGATGGATCTTGAGCCTTCCGCTGCTGATCTTTCGGGTGATACAGTCAATGAGGATGATCCGGATAATATCAATCAGATGCTGGATAAGGCGGCGGCGGATGCGGCGGCTGCTGGGATGGATGGGGGTGGTATTGGTGTAGGTCAGGATATGGGACTTGATCATGGGGCTGGCATGGATGCTATTGACGATGTGCTTAACGCGGCGGATATGGCGGTTGGCAATCCTGAGTTCCTTGACTTGGATATGGAAGACATGTTTTAGTCGGGATGGTTTTATCTTTGGTACATAATCTATGGACTTACAATGTCCAATCTTTGCATGGCATTTTGTTCGATCTATGTTTTGGCGAATGATGATTCACTGAACAACAATCAAACAACAATCAAAACAACGATTAGATCTTCTTAGCGGCACAAGAAACAGAAGAAAAGAAATAAAACTCGTATTGACCATCAACAACTATCAACAGAGCACTGGGCAAAAGAAGGAGAGGGCCTCAGGGCCGAAGTACCCAACTACGGCCCTATCAGACAGAGTCACATGACTATGGGTTTCCCTGCAGGACTAATTCTCTCCACCAATCACCATCTGTCCTAGAAGACCCCAGTCTTGTTCTTTTTTTGGCAGTTTTTCAATTCCTTCAATCTGAACACCTCTGAAATATTAGAAATGGATATAAGATGGAACCAGCGTAAGGAACATCATGCCAGACTCGCTGCACAACCCACAAGAGAAAAAAAATAAACAAAATAAAACAACATCAACCCCATCGCCCCATAACTAGCAATTCGATCCTATACTCCGCACCCAATAATAATACACCATCTAGCTGCGCCTCGATACATCGTCGACTAAGACCTATGACTCAATCCTAGAAACCGGAGGATTGTCTCAGTAGCCGACGTCGTAGTTACCACGATGCAAAAGCAAAAGCCATGTACGTACAAATATTGAAAGTCTTCTCAACTTTCCCGGCCAGCTGGGGAATCCCCGAGCCAGGGAAAAGTTTCTCCACAGCTTGCATGGGGGTCGGGAGGAGGCCTCGTCGGTTATTATTTCTAATAGGATTGAGTGGGACTGGGCCTGCTGCTGCCAGAGCCGAGATGGAGATGGTGGCGAATATTGTAGTGAGTTTCATGTTGAGCTGTCTTCTTGAATTGCTGTGGAATTGCTGTGGAATTGCTGGTTGTTGACTCCAATGCGGAAATATATATATCCTGTGTGTTAGTGGTCAAGTCTACGTTACTAGTTAATATGCTGTTGTAGGTACTAACAAGGTATGTGTCTGAAGAGTCACTTACTATTTCCTGACTAGGTAACTGTAGTAGTAGTGGAGTGCTTGATACTCTTGGATTGGATTAGAAGAAGAGAGAGTACCCCTTTCCAATGACCAATAATGCCTGGCACGGCCTTCTTATCTACATCCCCGAGTTTCGTGCTTTGTGCCTGATAGGCCTTCTTATCTGCCATCCTGGGTCTGGGGCTAGGACCCTCATGTCGGGGAACTTCAGGCATGGGTCTAGCTCATTCCGATGGCTTGAAGGCACTCATGGGAAGAAGGTTTTTCTTCGGCGTGGGGAATTTGAGGGAATGTACGCGACGGACGTGTCTAGACTTACGGATGGTGTTGAGGGTTGTACAGGGTTGATTTTATCCGCTACTTGACATCTGCAGGGTTGTTGCAATTATAAGATTGATACACGCAATTATTGAATGAAGATCGCGCAATTACTGTATGAGACATATTCTGATCATGCTAGAATGCACCTCTTATCTCCATGCATAACATTAGTTACGCCCCTGTCAAAGATTCTTTAGTGAGATGCTGTTCAGTCAAGGGATACAATCCAGCCCTTGAATACACATCGCTACTAGAAGTTAGTTCCTTCTGACCATAGGGAAGCTGAATGAACAGATTGTGAACATTCGTTGCTGTCGTCTTGAGGATATTTATATGTAAATAAGTATGGGCCCAAGTGAATACATCTGAGTCTGACTTTCGATAATTCTTCCACCCCACCTGCCACAACCCACCCGAGCCAAGAGCATCCTGTTGATCCAGTGCTCCGTATGGCTCCGGTACTCCGTACAATGTGAGACTAGCTCTCAAGGTAGCCCCGTCGTCCGACCCCGCTGCTCATTGAATAATCTGATCTTTAGTGCTCATCTTTGTACGGAGTACTCCGTACGGGGAAGAAGGACTTCTACACTGGAAGCGCTGTCGTGTCCAAGCTCACAGTCTTTGGGAATATATTGTATATTGAATGGCATTCAGGATCATGTCTTTGATGTGGTTGAGACCCCCAGCAGCCCCAAGGCATGCATGACGTGATATTCCCGGAAGAATATATAAGGATACCCGGTTTAATACCGATGCGTCAATTAATCTGCCTAGCAAGAACAAATCCCCCCCCCCTTACCACCGGCCTCGTTAATTCACCATTCTTCCCATACAAAAGTCGTCATAACGGAGCCGAGCCAGTTCCGGCCAATGGAAGTGACTTGCCGATCAATCTCCACTTGTTCAAGCACGGATCACCTTTCAAAATGTCGGTCTCCGAGAGTAGCGGCGAGTCCTGCTATTTCCCAGAGTGGAAATTACTCATTTGGAACTTTGGTGGGGATACAAGAGACTGCTATAGGCAAACATGCTATAGGCAAGAAGCAGAGCACTATTGGAACGCTTTTTGCGGTGTAAATTCGTATATAAAACAACTACATTTATACATGATGTGTGGGGGGCCTGGACTTACGAACCCCTGGAATTAAAAATCATTTCACTGCGTATCAATTGATTCGTTAGAGTTTGGTCTAGAGGTGGGGGGGTTACATAGACGCGGCCAGTGCTAATAACTGAACGAAATGTCAGAACCGTTGGACTCTTTATTCAACACGCAAGATGTTGCGCAGACCCGCAAAATGGATCTAGACAGGCAGTCGCAAATTGCCTCTTTGGGAACAAGGGCGCATATTGCCTGATTGGGATGACGGACCGGGCTAGAATCCGATTAGATAAGACCCGGGTAGATCGGGATCGCCAGGGAACCCGGTTATCGGGACGTATCACCCTGCGGAATCGTCACGCTTTCCGCGTCTCGGCATTGTTGATTATTTCATACTAGGCATAACTGGCTTTAGCAGTTCATTTTAGGGGGAACTTTGGTTTTGCCAAGGCGCCTCAATCTAGAACTTTAATTTTTATCCGGAAGACATATAAACATATATCCGCTTATAGCTCGTTCAATCGCCACGGATGACGAACATCGCGTAGAAGTTTCGAAGCCACTCATACAAAGTATTGGCCGGCAATTTCAGCTGGTAGTGATCCACCATGAAACGAGAAGTGGGAACAATCGCCAAAACATGCACCATACTTTGTACTGTGATCTGCATCAATCAAATAGTAGCCCTAGAAGCCCTAAAAGCCTCATGGATCCAAACAGGTACTCCATAGAAGTCGGAGGAATCGGACCTTTCCGGCTTCCAATGCTTATCTGTTGAGTCATTATTGGTTAAACCTGGAATACAACTAGTTCACTGGACCCAAGATTTGCCCAAAAGTGGGTTCCATTATGGAACTCGGCCTTTGTGCCGCGCTTTCCAGGTTACTTTGGATCTATTCATAGGAGTAAAACAACATCTTTCACATTAGCAGCAATACTGAACGAAATAATGGTAACAAATCGTCTCAGCCAATCGCAGGCCACTGCTCAATATCGCCCTTCCGATCTCCTATTCCCTCGGTCTGGAGTCGGCACATATAATAACTCGCCCCCTTTGCAGAAGATTCTAAGATAAATATGCTAGTCCTCCCAATTTAATTACTTCTGCTCTTATAATAATTTTTTGTTCCCTGACCAATCTCCACTCTTTCAAAGTCTCCCATCATGGAGCAGCATCCCGATGATGCGTCGCTGCACAGCGGATATCACAATGACGAAGACGAGAAGAACCATACGCCCGTCCACAAGCTCAACACTCACGATTTCACCAGCGTGGAGACCCTCCACGGACCCCAGCCCAACCTTCACGAATCAAAGAGTACCGAGACTCTGAACGTCGACAATGAGGATGACTCTCCACCCCCCAAGAAGAAGGCGGCGGATTGGCACATGACATCCCATGTGATCCGAAACGCAGAACGGGATGAAGCAGCCGGCTTCAAGAAGCGCGAGCTGGGTGTTACATGGCAGAACCTAACCGTCGATGTTCTTGCCGCCGAAGCCGCCGTCAACGAAAACATGATCTCGCAATTCAACGTTCCTCAATTGATCAAAGATTGGCGCCGAAAGCCCCCGCTCAAGTCGATTGTGTCAGAGAGTCATGGATGCGTCAAGCCCGGAGAAATGCTTCTTGTGCTCGGCCGTCCGGGTTCAGGATGTACCACGCTGCTCAAGTTGCTCACGAATCAACGCGAAGGTTTCCACTCCATCACGGGTGACGTGCGTTTCGGAAGCATGACTCCCAAGGAAGCTTCCTCCTATCATGGCCAGATTATCATGAACTCGGAAGAAGAGCTGTTCTACCCCCGCTTGACAGTCGGTCAGACTATGGACTTTGCGGCCAGACTTAAGGTTCCTTTCCATCTTCCCGAAGGAGTCAGTGTCGATCAGTACACAGCCGAGACGAAAGCATTCCTTCTAGAGTCTATGGGAATCTCTCACACCGCCGGCACTAAGGTTGGAAATGAGTTCGTCCGTGGTGTCTCCGGTGGTGAGCGGAAGCGTGTTTCTATCATCGAGTGTCTCGCGACCAGGGGTTCTATCTACTCCTGGGATAACAGTACCCGTGGTCTGGATGCCAGTACTGCATTGGAGTGGGCAAAGGCCCTTCGTGCTATGACTGATGTTCTCGGCCTTACCACCATTGTGACCCTCTACCAAGCAGGAAATGGAATCTACGATCTCTTCGACAAGGTCCTTGTCCTTGACGAGGGACTCCAGATCTACTATGGTCCTGCAACTGAAGCCAGGCCTTTCATGGAAAAGCTTGGCTTCATCCACACCGAGGGAGCAAACGTCGGTAGGTGTTTCCTGCATCTGTCAAAACCCCGACACCAACTAACACAACGATAGGTGACTTCCTCACTGGTTTGACAGTCCCGACAGAGCGGAGAGTCCGACCCGAATGCGAACGCACATTCCCCAGAACTGCCGATGCCATTATGGCTGAGTACAAAAAGTCCAGCATCTACACCCGTGAGATTGCAACATACGACTATCCCGACTCTGAAATCTGCCGCGAGCGCACAGAGGCATTCAAGGAGTCTGTTGCGTGGGAAAGGTCCAACCACCTGCCCAAGGGTAGTAGTCTGACTATCAGTTTCTGGGCTCAGCTCATTGCATGCACCAGGCGACAGTACCAGATTCTGTGGGGTGATTTGTCAACATTCATCATCAAACAAGTTTGTTCATGTATCATGGCCTTGATCGCTGGTTCTTGTTTCTATGACTCGCCCGATAACTCCTTGGGTCTCTTCACCAAAGGTGGTGCTGTCTTCTTCTCGCTGTTGTACAACTGTATCGTTGCCATGTCTGAGGTGACTGAATCTTTCAAGGGTCGTCCGGTTTTGCTCAAACACAAGGCCTTTGCTATGTACCACCCGGCTGCATTTTCCTTGGCTCAAATCATGGCGGATTTCCCGGTTCTGTTGTTCCAGTGCACTATCTTCTCGGTCGTCATCTATTGGATGTCTGGCCTGAAACACACTGCTGCTGCTTTCTTCACCTTCTGGATTATTCTGTTCTCGACAACTCTGGTGAGTCATCGTTTTATTCGATTCCTTTGAACTAAGACTAACTATGACCTTATCAGTGTATTACGGCTGTCTTCAGATTTATTGGATCCGCTTTCAGTACCTTCGAAGCCGCGTCAAAGATCTCAGGAACTGCAGTCAAGGCTATTGTCATGTACGCTGGTTACATGATTCCCAAGCCTAAGATGAAGAACTGGTTCCTCGAAGTGTACTACACGAATCCTTTTGCCTATGCTTTCCAAGCTGGCCTGGCGAACGAGTTCCACGACCGCACATTCCCCTGTGTTGGTCGCAACCTGATCCCAAGTGGCCCTGGTTACGAAGACGTCGGAGCTGATAACCAAGCTTGTGCGGGTGTTGGTGGTGCGTTGCCAGGCGCGAACTTTGTGACCGGCGATCAGTATCTTGGATACCTTCACTACAAACACACTCAACTGTGGCGAAACTTCGGTGTCGTCTGGGCCTGGTGGGGATTCTTCGCTGTCCTGACTGTTATTTTCACATCCTACTGGAAAGCAGCTGGTAATGGTGGTGCTTCTCTTCTCATTCCCCGCGAGAAACTCAAGGCGCACAATGCTGCCATCTGCGATGAAGAGGCGCAACGCAACGAGAAGGCCCACAACCGCGAAACCCCCGATGCCCCCGCCGAGGCTGAGGAGGAGAATCTTACCCGGAACACCTCTATCTTTACCTGGAGAAACCTCACATACACTGTCTCAACCCCCACTGGCGATCGCGTGCTGTTGGATAACATTAACGGATGGGTCAAGCCCGGCATGCTCGGCGCTCTCATGGGATCTTCTGGTGCAGGCAAAACGACACTGCTTGATGTGCTTGCTCAACGTAAGACAGACGGTACTATCAACGGTTCTATCATGGTCGATGGCCGTGAGCTCCCGGTCTCTTTCCAAAGAATGGCTGGATACTGCGAACAACTCGATGTTCACGAGCCATTTGCAACTGTGAGAGAAGCACTTGAATTCTCTGCCCTCCTTCGCCAGTCTCGCGATACCCCTCGGGAAGAAAAGATCAAGTACGTTAACACTATCATCGACCTTCTCGAGCTCCATGACCTGGCAGATACTCTTATTGGTACCACTGGAAACGGTCTCAGTGTCGAACAAAGAAAGCGTGTTACAATTGGTGTCGAACTGGTCTCCAAGCCTAGTATTCTGATCTTCTTGGACGAGCCTACCTCCGGTCTGGATGGACAATCTGCCTTTAACACCGTTCGTTTCCTTCGCAAATTGGCCGATGTTGGTCAAGCTGTTTTGGTAAGTCTTCAATCTCCTCCATTCAACGACAAGATCATATTGCTAACAAGTCATGTTCTAGGTTACAATTCACCAGCCTTCCGCGCAGCTTTTCGCTCAGTTCGATACTCTCCTTCTCCTCGCAAGGGGTGGAAAGACCGTCTACTTTGGAGACATCGGTGAAAATGCGAGCAGCATTAAGAGATATTTTGGCCAATACGGCGCCGCCTGTCCTACCGAGTCCAACCCAGCTGAATTCATGATTGACGTTGTTACTGGTGGTATCGAGGCTGTCAAGGACAAGGACTGGCATCAGATCTGGCTCGACTCCCCTGAGCAAAGCAAGATGATCACGGAACTGGACAGAATGATTGAGGACGCTGCTTCCAAGCCCCCGGAACAGTCGATGATGGTTACGATTTCTCTATGCCTCTTTGGGACCAGATCAAGATCGTCACTCAGCGGATGAATGTCGCGCTTTTCCGAAACACCGACTACATCAACAACAAGTTCGAGCTTCACATCATCTCCGCCGCTCTCAATGGTTTCTCCTTCTGGCGTCCTGGCCCAAGTATCATCGCTCTGAATCTGAAGATGTTCTCCATCTGGAACTTCGTCTTCGTCGCCCCCGGTGTCATCAACCAGCTTCAACCTCTTTTCATCCAGCGTCGTGATATTTACGATACTCGCGAGAAGAAGTCCAAGATGTACTCCTGGGTTGCCTTCGTCACCGGATTGATTGTCTCCGAGTTCCCATACCTCTGCATCTGTGCCGTTCTCTACTTTGCCTGCTGGTACTACCCCGTTTGGAGACTTCCCCATGACTCTAACCGATCTGGTGCCACCTTCTTCATGATGATGGTCTACGAGCTCATTTACACCGGTATTGGTCAATTCATCGCCGCCTATTCGCCCAACGCAACCTTCGCTGCGCTTGTGAACCCTCTGATCATCAGTACCCTCGTCATCTTCTGTGGTGTCTTGGTTCCATACGACGAGCTCAACGTGTTCTGGCGTTTCTGGATGTACTACCTCAACCCTTTCAACTACGTCGTCAACGGCATGTTGACCTTCGGTATCTGGGGTGCCAAGGTCGTCTGCAATGAAGATGAGTACGCTTTCTTCGACCCACCCAACGGCACCTGCGCGGATTACCTGTCGGATTACATGGCTGGCACTGGTAAGGGTATCAACTTGCTCAACCCCGATGCTACCTCCGCCTGCAAGGTCTGCCAATACAAATCTGGAAGCGAGTTCCTTAACACTCTCCACATCAAGAACTACACCACTGGATGGAGAAACATTGGTATCGCCTGGATCTTCGCCTTCAGTGGATACGCTTTGGTGTTCGGTCTCATGAAGTTGAGAACCAAGGCTTCCAAGAAGGCCGAGTAGGTTGAGCGTCTGTTCATCCTTTCTCTCAAAAGGCCATCATCTCCTCGGGATCCTCATTACTTGAGCTTTCCTCTTTCCCGATCTTTCCTCCCATTTTCTCATTATTTCCTTCTTCACTTCTTCCGTTCCTTAAAGGACTATTTATCCAAATTTTGCTATACATTCACTACCCAGCCCTTCATTCATGGAGCCCTGCACCTGCGAATCTCGATCCTCTAGTCATCGAGCATATTTGTCATTTCCAGCATACATGTTATTAGCTAGCATATAGATTGCATATAGATCATAGACCATAACCATATAGAATATAGATTGTCATTCTCAAAATTTCTACAAAAGATCCTCTTCAAGATTAAGTTGTAGCAATTAGAAGATCATTGAGTTAGAAGATCTGATGTAGGCATTGCTTGTTTACATCCAATTTGTCATACCTCCCTTTACCCCTGTAACTAGTTATGGTTCTTTGTGTTTCAAGCTATGTCGCTTTGCTCACATGAAGCTATTTCGAAAACTTCATGACAGTAGTCCAATCATCATCATCAACAATTACTTCTTATTTCTTAGTGACGTACTGTCACATATGTACGTGATTGAGATATATCCACAAGCCCAAAAGGGAAACAAAAGCATAGATATATTTCCGAGGTGGTCGATTCAGACTAGTAATATGAACTCGTATTCCAGCTCTCCGGGTTAGCCGCCAGTATGAGAAATGTACAACATACGGGCTACTTTCTAAATTCTGCCAATATCCAAACTGTGATGAGATTGCATCAAGACCCAGGACCACGAGCTGGCGTGTGGAGATGCGTCTATGGATGTACTGGATAAATTATCCGGAGGACCGAGATTTTGACACATATCCCACCTTCCCGATCGGGTAGTATTCGAAAAGTAACTCCAAAATAGAAAGCGGAACGAAAAGTCCCCAAGATTGTAAATCCATGATTATCTCCACCGAGCGAAAAGATACAGACCCGAATGCTCGAGGGGAAATGACGGGGTCGACCCAGCGTCATGGGCCAACCTTGGAAGAAGGACCATTTGCATTTCTCGCATGGCCGATCGTTGCCTAATTATTGCAAGCTGATACCGACAACATGGAACCTCCAGCCATACTTAAACTCTCTCATTTATAGGAGTACGGAGTAGCTTACCCCAATTTCCCCTGGGGGACCATGAAAATCGGTGGGACATTGCGATGCTGCACGCGAGTGGAAACTCGCCCGATGAAGAACTTGGGATCTGCGCACGAGCTGGTTTTCTGCAGGAACTGTGATAAGCACTTTCTTGTTTGAGAAAAAAAAGAAAAGAAAAGTGCCTCCCCGCATTTCCCGATAAAAGTTTGGTTGGCATAGGATAGGCTAGGATTCTCATCACATCTCAGGCACACAAGCACAGGTATTACTGTATTTCCCAGGAAGCATTGCTGATCGGTCCAGAAATCTCCTTTTGTAGAATTCCGGCCTAGGTGGGGAGAGGCATTGAAAAATGGGTTGCGGGTAAGACCCTCAAGCTATGAACAAGAGAGTACTCCGTACGCTGTCATGACAATCTCGGAAAATGTAGAGTTCGAATGCACGCTCTTTGTCCATTTCGCACAGAAACCGTCCTTGTTCCCGCCTCTGTTCTGTCACATAATTCAGCCAAGCAAAGATCAGCAGTGATAGAGTGATAGTGGAGTGAAATAATAGGCATGTCGTCGTAAGAGCAAAAAGCAAAAGCTCCGCCGTGAGCCTTCTCCTCGTGTATATGTGGCTTTGGATTAGACCATTGTTTGCCGACCTAGTCCACTAGAGCAAATAATTGTTGACTTCAGACATAAAGTGCCCGTTTTCGGCTAAGCGGATCGTTGCTGGAACAACCAACAACAAACAATGTTGTGTATGAGTTTGGGAGAAAAAGTGAATGAGAAGAGTTTGCCGTTGAAGCCATAAATCATTTAGTTCGGCTTAAGCCTCAAGTCCTTATTTCCACATATGACGCGGTGACGGGATAATTGTTCATAAATTGCACAAGATGAGTCTTGTGCTATGTAGAAGGTTACGGAACAGAATTCTGGAAACAGTCGAGTTGATGCGATCGCGCTTGAAACTGGCAATGTGGAGGTTGTTTCACCTCGGGTGAAAATGAGACTCTCTCAATATGCTCCATATGTTGTAGATTAACTGAAGCCAAAGATATAAGTTGTAATGAAGTGTTGTCAAGGCGTGCTGGTATCCACGTGACACGGGCGCGTCCCAGTCACATGTTTGTTTGTTTTTGTTCCCTCGGCATCTGCAGTCTCAATAATAGGATTGCAGGATCAATAATCTATTCTAGGTTCTGACTACGGCGTATAGTCCACTCTACTCTAGACAACATACGGAGTACATCGTATTGAATTCTCCCCTCTATCACGTCGCCAGCGCGGATGCGAGGGCGATCCCCCTCTAACCGTGCCGTCCCGCACTATACTGTACAGAAGATGATACAGTTAGTCCAGCGCCTATCATATTGCCCCTTTCATCCCGTCCCAAAAAAATGGCCCGGGTGTGGGGAGTGCGGTCCAAGGTCAGCACTTTACAATATAAGGACCAGCGAAACTATTGATACAACGGCCTGACGCGACACAAAGTTATCAATAGTCTACGGAGTACCGTCTGTACTCCTATGAGAACGACATGTCCATCATCGTGGTGGGCGATCATTATACAATATATAGGCCGTACGGAGCACGCAGTGCCTGGCACGTTCCTCCGTCCAAAGCCAAGAAAATAGCCTTCTTGTGGAGCACTTTGAGTCAGCAAGATCCTTCGTTAATCGTTTTGCCATGGGCATCTTTTTGATAGGCCCTGCTAGTTTTCTAGCCTCCCCACGCACTCTCAAACCCCTGCTCATTGCGCAACGGCCAAGCCGATTCAGGGGCATTGACAGGGATTGCTGTTAGTCCCGCATTGCAATTCAATCACGTGAGACGTCAAACAAAGAACTCGAACAGCCGGGATCTCAATGACGCTTTGAGTTGCATCCCCGAAGCTACGGTGACCTCAAATCAGTTTCCCGGTATGGAATACAAGGTATGTAGGTTCTGGCCTCGAACTCTAAGGAAACTTTGGAACTGCACAGCCGCCCCCCTATTCAAATTTGAGGGGACGTTGGACTATTGATTTTAAAGCAGAACGAGATAGAGTAGCTGTACTTAGCTTAGGGTTTGAAATTAATTAATACTGACAGTTAATGGACTTCACAAAGTGGATTTATGAGCACATGGTGTATCAAGCTCCACGAGAAGACGCATTGTAAATCCCCAAGCCCCTGACTGCGAGCCTCCACCAAGGCAAATCCGAGTCATTGTCCCTGGAACCGGAAGCTCTCCCGCGAGCACACGCCCCCATAACTAGGCCAAAAAGTGAAAGGGAAAAAAAGCTGTGATCCAATTTTGGGCAATGCTCTATCTACCTGGTTGAAATGTGGGCTCTCTGGACGCGATTATCGCCCGTCCCAATCTAACATCTCAGATCCCGGACAAAGAAATAACAAAGAACCATATCGCGCGTGGCGGCCCAACCGGTCGATTCTCATCTAGGACATCGCTTCCATCCCAGTGCGTCTCATTCGATGCATCCGACTGCTTGACAGGTACACGGTAACATAAGCTGTCATATACAATCTATTATAGTGGCGTCGGGGATGTCCAATACCGAAAATAGAGGCGCAGACTAGCCCCTAATTCCGGAGACAGGTACCGTCTAGACCGTGGCGCGGAAACGTGCTAGCCAATCCGCCAGCCGTGCGCGTCCGGCATCGCCTTCTAGTGGCTTTCTAGACATCGCACGGAGGCCTTTCCGGTTAACTTAGGCTTGGAGGATTTTGTTTTCGTGTGGGTTTCTCCTTAAGGCGAAATGAACTGTGGAGTGTCATAAGTGTCATGAGTGGAGATGTGTGCGTAGCTTCTATCTTTCTTTGTTGATTGCCTTCATATCGCCCCATCTGCGACTATTCCTGGGCCGTTCTCTTTCATGCGCCAGTCTAAGTGGGGTCTCGTATTGAATCGGCGATGTGAAACTTACGCTGTATGTATTGTTGACCGTTACGATCTAGCAAATTACTATACAAGGTCCGGTATTATGTACTTATTCTCGGGGTACTTTTTACCGCTCACTAGATCCCTGTAACTAGTCTATCAATTCTACCATTTTAGATGGTCTAGATGTCTAGGATTATCTATCTGCTTTTTGCGCTGCTTGCAATTTCCATACAATTGTAAAGAATTTGCGGAGTACGAGCATACTCCGTTCGAATGGATTATCCCTGCTCTTAACCCACCGTGCTTGTATTGATGAACTTGCATTATACATATAGAGTACACTGTATGTATGTTCTTTATTTTTTTAATTTGAACTGCTTGTCAAAACGAAGTAGATCCTATAATAAATTTAGGTATAGATGCATGGGCCATGTTACCCCTGTTGCCAGGCATCAAGGTTTCGTCTTTCCGCTCGCATCCATGGATGAGCTGCGTTAAATTCAATGTTTAAAATTCAGTGATCGGGTTGTTTATATGCATATGTTCAATGAGAGTTTATGGCGTGTTATTTCAAGTTGATTATTTGACTAGCATTATTTTGAGCAAAAGCCTAGACCCAATATATAGATGAAGAGGGTGTAGATGTAGTTGACAATTCACATCATACGAATCACGCACGATACACCGAGATATGATGGTCGAATATGGTCTATTTCGGAAATTGAACTGAATATCCTAGTAAAGGTCATATCTAATAGATTGTGACACAGCGTGGTTACACAATCGCAATCGTGGGGTAAAAGGCCATGGAAGAACAGCATTCTCTCATCAATAGAACCTTGAAAACTCGGTGAGAAAGTATAACTCAACTTCGAATAAAAATATAGTAGGCAACCATTTCTGCATCCCAAATCACATGAGACCCTATAACAGACCGACTTTATTGAGATCATAACCAAAGTTGTAAGGTTTGGAGCGCGATCTTGCAGCC